TAAATTGTAACCCAATGAACTATGACTACAATGTCCCACCGTAGGGATGTGAAGACGATCTATAACCTACGACGGGCTGGTCGATTGTAATCAGCAAAAGAAAAAAAAATATCTCAGATTAATAAGTGTTTATTATCGGTAATGTTTATACTTTGGGAACAGTTTCCAACTTTATATGATGAAATGTAACAAATGTATTGAGCCCTCGGGTGTCACGGCTGTGATCAAACGACCATGATTAAAGCCCCACTAAACATTAAAAGAAAGACATATATCAATGTAGTTCGTAGGTTCGTAATGTCACTCGGTGTACACAGGTTGCATACGAACCAATCCCTAATAGCACATTTATCGAGAGATGAAATAGCCAGAAGAACACGCTGGAGTTGCTCAAATATTGGCACTCAATTATTACATGAAAGCGGTTATACGCAACCCACAATATTTTTATATTCAACGTTTTATTAAATTCAGGTCCAGTAAACCTTGATATTTGATTGTTATAAAATATGCATACAAGCTTTGAACAGAAAGAGGTGTTTGCTTTACTTTACGAAACATGGTTTGAACATTACAACTCAAGAAGGAAGATTAAGGCTATATCAACAATCAATGAAACCCACCCACACCCACACCCATACCCACCCCCACACACACACCCCCACCCACACCCACACCCACACCCACACCCTCACCTCACACTCCACACACCCACACCCACACTAACACCCACACCCACAACCACAATCCACATCCATCCACATCCACACCTACACCCCACACCCACACAGCACAAATATGTTTTGAAAATGATTATGTGCTCATTGGCAATCTATTTCTTTGAAGGATAATAGATTGTGATAAAATGTTGCATTTTTTTCGGTTCGCTTTGTTATCATGTTGCCTGGTAAAGATATCAGTTTTATTTCAAGTGAGGCCATATTGCCTATAACTGACATAAAGTGTTATCGATTTTCAGAAACTTCGTGCCTTCGTTATCTGTTGTAATCTCGATGCATAAAGTGCATGAATCAATGTTGACAAATACACTCCAAAATACACCCGTGTTAAAGTCTTTGAATGGACCTTTGTACATGCGCGTGTCTGCTGATGACATGTCAACATGAACGTGTGAAGTGTGAAGAGAAGGGGCCGATACCACTGCAAGTCACAATGGAAAGGAAATGATTGGAAATACTTGAAACCTTATTCTCATTTCTTCAGTTTGTATGTACTTTAAGAAGTCTTATTTCTCTATATTTCGCACAGTACTGCTGTGTGCATTAAGACATCGATTGACATCTAAGACACTGGTATGAAAAACACATCTTTGCAATGTTTCGAGCTGTATGTCATTATCGTTTTGAATGTTGCAAGGACAAATCCAATCGCTAGAGGAAATGTTGACTAAATCTTAATTTTTAGATTAGTTTAGTGTTTTGAGTGTAAGTAACGAATAGAAAACAACCCTCTTCAGCGCGATATGATTGCAATTTAACATTTATGCTTATTTACCATGTGGATTTCATCGCCATTGTTGGCTTGTGGCAGGAATCCATGATGATGGGTATGTATAGCGTCAACAAGAAGATGAAATGTGCAATTCACTGAGAAAATATTCTATTCATAGCTTAATTACGTGAAAATAGATACTGATGAATCACCATGACAATTTGAAACTAAAAAGAGTAAATATAAAAACAAGGATGTAACAAAATATTGAAGTTGTGTCACAGAAATTAAAAGAAATAGTTTACAATTTGGTCGTTGTGCGCGCATTCTGAACAAAAATGTAGTTTTGTCCAGGAGCAACACATCTCTGATTAAAAGTCAAACATGTAGTTTTGTCCAGGAGCAACACATCTCTGATTTAAAGTCAAACATGTAGTTTTGTCCAGGAGCAACACATCTCTGATTTAAAGTCAAACATGTAGTTTTGTCCAGGAGCAACACATCTCTGATTAAAAGTCAAACATGTAGTTTTGTCCAGGAGCAACACATCTCTGATTTAAAGTCAAACATGTAGTTTTGTCCAGGAGCAACACATCTCTGATTAAAAGTCAAACATGTAGTTTTGTCCAGGAGCAACACATCTCTGATTAAAAGTCAAACATGTAGTTTTGTCCAGGAGCGACACATCTCTGATTAAAAGTCAAACATGTAGTTTTGTCCAGGAGCGACACATCTCTGATTTATAGTCAAACATGTAGTTTTGTCCAGGAGCAACACATCTCTGATTAAAAGTCAAACATGTAGTTTTGTCCAGGAGCAATACATCTCTGATTTAAAGTCAAACATGTAGTTTTGTCCAGGAGCGACACATCTCTGATTTATAGTCAAACATGTAGTTTTGTCCAGGAGCAACACATCTCTGATTTAAAGTCAAACATGTAGTTTTGTCCAGGAGCAACACATCTCTGATTTAAAGTCAAACATGTAGTTTTGTCCAGGAGCAACACATCTCTGATTTAAAGTCAAACATGTAGTTTTGTCCAGGATCAACACATCTCTGATTTAAGGTCACACATGTTACCATTAAAATGGAAAAAACGTTTATACTCCCTAAATGTCAAAAGTGAACGATTTGAGTGAGTGATGAGTTTCACAAAACTTCACCTGTTGGTTTTAGCGATACAATCCAGAAACAAATGCTTCAGACACACGGGCGGATAGAACGACAGAAGAACGGACAGACAAGCTGATTACTATATCTACCAGTATCAAACTCCCGGCGGAGAGGGGGGCCTTAGGTTCATTCACGTACATAATGAGTTTGCATAATTATCTTTATTTACGTATTTATATGTTGTGTTGTAGAGGTCGTTATACAGAACACTAGGGATTGCTGGCATTGATTGCTCTGCTTGTGATACACTGAACCTCTCACGAAACTCGGACTCCTCATGGCACGAATCTTTTTATCAAATTTGTTACTCAGCAGCAGATAATTATCACAGAATGTGTAGATACCATACACGAATTTCCTTACATTCTGGAATGTCACTTCTTTACACTTATCGTATTGGGCCTAGTCTTTGTGGAGCATAATAGGAATCAGCCCAAGTCAAGAAAGAATGTTTGGGATTGACCTGCAGATATGGAATACTGTTTCAGTGCAGTATAGGCATGCATGCACACTTGGTTTTCACTACAGTATAGGAATATACAGTTTCACTCATGGTTTTCACGGCAGTATAGGAATACACTGTTTCACTTATGGTTTTCACTGCAGTATAGGAATACACTGTTTCACTCATGGTTTTCACTGCAGTATAGGAATACACTGTTTCACTTATGGTTTTCACTGCAGTATAGGAATACACTGTTTCACTCATGGTTTTCACTGCAGTATAGGAATACACTGTTTCACTTCATCATTTTCACTGCAGTATAGGAATACACTGTTTCACTACATGGTTTTCATAGGAATATACCGTTTACACACTGTTTACACTGTTCATCGTTTTTCATGGTTTTCACTACAGTATAGGAATACACTGTTTAATTCATCATTTTCACTACAGTATAGGAATACACTGTTTAAGTTCATCGTTTTCACTACAGTATAGGAATACACTGTTTAGTTCATCGTTTTCACTATAGTATAGGAATACACTGTTTAACTGATTATACTGGTTCATCGTTTTCACTATAGTATAGGAATACACTGTTTAACTCATCGTTTTCACTGTAGTATAGGAATATACTGTTTAGTTCATCGTTTTCACTATAGTATAGGAATACACTGTTTAGTTCATCGTTTTCACTACAGTATAGGAATACACTGTTTAGTTCATCGTTTTCACTATAGTATAGGAATACACTGTTTAACTCATCGTTTTCACTGCAGTATAGGAATATACTGTTTAGTTCATCGTTTTCACTACAGTATAGGAATACACTGTTTAGTTCATCGTTTTCACTATAGTATAGGAATACACTGTTTAGTTCATCGTTTTCACTACAGTATAGGAATACACTGTTTAGTTCATCGTTTTCACTACAGTATAGGAATATACTGTTTAGTTCATCGTTTTCACTATAGTATATCGTTTTCACTGCAGAATACACTGTTTAGTTCATCGTTTTCACTACAGTATAGGAATACACTGTTTAGTTCATCGTTTTCACTATAGTATAGGAATACACTGTTTAACTCATCGTTTTCACTGTAGTATAGGAATATACTGTTTAGTTCATCGTTTTCACTATAGTATAGGAATACACTGTTTAACTCATCGTTTTCACTGCAGTATAGGAATATACTGTTTAGTTCATCGCTTTCACTGCACTATAGGAATACACTGTTTCACTTATGATTTTCACTACAGTATGGGAATATACTGTTTAGTTCATCGCTTTCACTGCACTATAGGAATACACTGTTTCACTTATGATTTTCACTACAGTATGGGAATACACTGTTTAGTTCATCGTTTTCACTACAGTATAGGAATACACTGTTTAACTCATCGTTTTCACTGCAGTATAGGAATACACTGTTTCACTCATGGTTTTTTATAACATAGGTATACCCTTACACCTGCTTCATGTATTTGACGTATAAATTACCTTAACTGAAACAAAAACCTTCAAATAATCAGAAGAAGAGGTCCATTGTACGATACGGTTTCATCATAAACATGTGTTTGTGGGTCAATATCGCCAATCATATAATAAACACATGTGTATGAATCAATATCAAACAGTGATGATACAAGGCATCATGAAAAGAGCATCTTTCCCCCACGGTTGTACCCGTTCAAACAGCATTGCCATTTCGCGATACCTTCTGTCATCACTGTCATCACTTCTTCAGTGATCTATCTAAAAAATCTCATCATCACTTCACGACAATAGAATCTACTTAGGTAGATAATCAAGTCTGATAATTTCCAGCGTTGACGTTTTACATTACAATGTCTTGTATGCTTTCTGACCACTGATTATAGACGGCGAAGTAACACACAATAAACATGATCGTTCCAATCTGTCTGCAGGTGTTGTGAAGCAGCCCGGATACGATCACGTCACCGAAGACGCCATACACCTGGCTGCGATGACATTTTCTGATGAAACAAATGTCAATTTGTCCGTGTCTATAGCAACGCTCAACCCAGTAACTTTTTCATCTATCCTCGTACCAGGTATGTTGAACAGCTCACCTGGTTCAGATTGGTTAATCCATGTCCTCCTGATCATACTTCCGTGTAGCCCAGAGGTGTTGTACCTCCCATAATCAACCCATATAACACCCACATAACATCTGTGTTATATAGGTGTGTTGTGGCTAGTATCTAACTATCAGTCAAAACAAGTTGTTTGTGTATTGTTTAACGCCTCACTCAGCAATATTCCAGCCATATTTAGGCGGTCTGTAAAATATCAAGTCTTGACCAGACAATCTAGTGGTCAGTTGAGATACAATGACATGTGCCTGACCACCCGATCCCGCTAGGGACCACCCCTTACGACAAGAATGGGTTGCTGAAGACCAACTCTAACCCGGATCTTCACTTGTGGTCAAACCAGTCAAAGTGATAGTTTGACGGTTCTGAGTATTGTAACTGCCCATTATATATGTGCTTAACAAATGACAAAAAAGACCCCGTGAAAGTAACATTTTGTTCATGTGTCACGAATTACTTTACTCACGTCAGTATGGAAGATACTTTTCCTGTTTGCTATTTTTGGGATCACACTTTCTTGGAAATGTACAAGTTCTAGAGCATTTGGGGTTAATATAGATCTCATCCTCAGTCAGCAATCTAACCCACTAAGCCACCGAGGTACTCCACAAAATGGAAGTCCGACAACTGGTAGTCCAGACGAAAGTAACTTGTGTTCCTTCTGGCTAGTGTCAGTTGGCACGGCTCCCATGGCCGACGGAATACACAATGCTTATATTCAGAAAACAAACCAGTCACGTGTCATATATGTCATATACACATTGGAAAAAGTATAGCAACACCCCATATTTTTCATTGTGTCAATATGTTACCATGAACCATAGCAAAGGCACTTATCCGAACCTCAATTTCACTTATTATCTGGATAAACTGACCCTCAAGGAATAATTTATATAGCAAATCTAAACCCCCAAAAGAACGAAAAGCTGTAGTTTATTCAGGCGGTGCAAAGATAGCAAAAGTGACTCATTTTGTAGTGCTGGTGACTATGGTCGCATGACGTAAACACGTGCGGTCATTTTCAAGATTCTGACATACAATCGTCAAGGCATATGAAACTAAGAATAAGAAAAATAACCTAGAACAGTGTCAATATCTGCAATAACATCCCCGGCGCTCCTCCTCACTGACTGTATCAGATATTGAATTTGACTTTGAGATCCATTCTTGATGGAGGGCTTGTTTCAATACATCAAGATTTGGTACTGGAGGATCTATCTGGCGTATTCTGCGACCGATAATGTTGTACAAAGCGATCTTAGCGCTAAGGTGACCGTAACTCCCATACCTTAACATAGACTTAAGGTTGTCTTAGCGCTCATGGTGTTTTGTACAACAGCACCGTGGTGAGCCTGGGAAGAGTTGCTAACGCCTATTGACGTACGAAATCACCAACGGTACATGTACGGTGTGGCCTTGTGCTCAGAGGATGGTCATCGAAATGTGGTACAACAACCCCGTCTAGGATGTCAATGATGTACCGTTGTCCATTCAGATTTTGTCTGATCGTCACAATGTCAACTTTACCGTCATTTGAGAGGCTTTCACACACCAGAAATGAACCACTGCCAAACGGCTTCCGTTAGGCATATATGGTGCGGCGCCAAACATAAATCATAAGTCATGAGCAAAGGAAATCGACCTTCGCCTACACCAGGGACCCTTCCACATGACGCCAAATTCCACTGACGTTGATATTGACACCAAGCTAGGCATGTTGATTTGTGCTCTGCGGGATAACAACAGATGTCTGATAGGCTCTGTCTTGCTCTATGCCCGGCTGATTTTAGGCGATGTCGGACCGTTCTGTTGGACAATCGGCAATGTGGAAGCAACTCTGTTTTTAACATGCCTCTTGACATGAACGGATGAAGTTTTGCGATTCTGAGATGGACTGTATCCTGCTTAGGAGCTGTCAATCGCCGACGACCAGAACGCTGACTGTCCTTTAGGTATTTAGTTTGCTGATGTTTCCTGGCCAATCTGCTGATAGTCGATGGCTGACAATCAACACCTAGCCATCAGTGACATGCCAGCATTCAGCATGCAAATAACGTGCCATCTTGAAGCTGTTGTCAGTCGAAGAGGGCCCATATTTGCTTGTCAACAGCAAAATCAATTGCTTTCCAAGTTATCGTGCTGTAAGATAATTTACTGAAACTTGATGTTTGCTCAGTGACAGGTACACGTATGTTCGCCTTTGATCCTGCACGTGCATATTTCAAATCGATGTATGGTGTGCCCGAAGGGTAAAATTAATGATACAAACAAACATGAATTATAATTTGAATATACATATCTGTTGGGTGTGGGTCGGAGTTCAAAACCACAGGTGTTGCGATACTTCTTTTCATGAGTATATTTGGGAGTACTCTTTGTTTGCCTTTGTCACTTCATTTACCGTTATTTGTCCACTATTGCTATCTTACAGAAATTGTTTACTCCACATATTTGACATAAGAATTATAGGCCCCTTTTCGCAGTTAATGGAAATCCCGATCACAATGGATAGAAAAACATCAAATATTTGCCATTACTCGAACGATATCATATGAAATCAAACCATTCCAACAGCTGTTTCAATATCGCACTCATTGTTCCATTGCGTAACTCCAGCGTCATGTCTGTAAGCGTAATGCCAACGTGCTCTGACACCACTTTGTAATTATGTCGATAGTTTTCTGACAGGCCATTCGAAACAGCTTTGACAATATTGACATTAAGCTGTTTCCTTCAATCGACCGTTATTATGAGTAAACACCGGGGTCATTCAGTTAACATCACTAATTGTGATGTTGTCATAACTACATGTTTAGTGAATCTTCATAACGCTTTACGTAATCGTTTCGCTCTCTTTTGTGTGGCGTACAGACGTTAAAAGCCTCGTAACATTGAGATAACGAAGCCGTTTGCAGTTAGCCGTTTTGGGTTCGATTGTGGCAATGATTGCTTTTTGTGTCTTGAATATCCTTTATATTTTAATTTCAGACTGTACAGTATTCAACATGACGTGCGCTGGTCTTATCACGTTTGCGGACTGCTCTCATGCAATTTTCATTGACTTTTGGGCTGAAGAACATGTGATACCACATGTAATCTTCACCAACAGATCATGTGACTTTGTGAGCAAGCACGGAGTCAAGATGATCCCTCGTTTTACCACACAGAATAAGTTGATATCGGATATTGTTGTCCAAGAGCAATGGTCGGACGTTGTTATCATGTACGATTCTACTTTAGGTAGGTATTTCCATCAGATTCTAACGTGCGGTAAAATTTATTGAACATCTTTAACTTAAACGCTTTTGGCTCAATGTATCGTTCGCGATGACAGATATAGTTTTACGTTCGGGCAGATTCCTTGTTAAAACAAGTATCGAAACTACGCTTGAAGGAACAAGGGGTAGTTCTACAGTCATACAACTTCTTTATTACAAGTATATCAATAGAACTGCCCCCTTGTTTATAACTTCTAAATGCCAACCAGAGAAGTATATTCTTCTGGATTCACGTTGACGGGGTTTTGCAAATACCTGGTCTTATCAGAGATTTTCACTGATCCATATATGTAACCATCCTTGCTAGTTACTTACGGGAGTGAGTGAGTGAGTATGGTTTTACGCCGCTTTTAGCAATATTCCAGCAATATCACGACAGGAGGAAACCAGAAATGGGCTTCACACATTGTACCCATGTGGGAATCGAACACGGATCTTCGCCGTGACGAGCCGACGCTTTAACCACTAGGCGACCCCACCGCCTCTACTTACGGACAGTTGTTTCTGAAGACTCATCATTCTCTGATACAAACGTTTTCTGTTTACAAAATGTTACATACTGGGTGTAGGATTTCAGTCAAGAGTTGACAACGTGTCCTTGTGCTTCTACCCGAAGTGTGGTCGAAAACCATATTTCTGTCTGTGATTTAATGAGTAGGTGACACTTATTATGATTTACTTCACCAAGATAAACACTTGTTCATCGCGAGATGAAATCAATAATGTACGCAGGGAAGAAAGAAGAAGAATGTGTTGCTTGCTTAAACCCAGTTCCTCCAATGATCTTACGGAAATCGTATTGGAAGCAGTCTATATCAATGCAGAAACCGGTTATGTTATGGGTAGCTAGCTAACAAAGTTTCTTCCGGGCGGTAATGAACTCCAATAAGACACGAGGTACATGTACACTGCTGGCAAACGTGTAATGGAATCAAACCACTCACCCTTGCGCAAAGATTTGACGAGTAAACATGGCCGTTGTTTCCGGTCAAGGTCATGTATTGTGAGAGGAATTCTTATGGTATGTGAAGAAACTCGAAGTATGAGAGCGTCCCTGTGTCAGGAGATGTAAATCGAGGTGAAGAATGCTCCCTATATTCGTGAGTCTGGATTCCAGATTGAAATTGATTATGGTCCTCTTGTCATCAACATGAACGTGATCGTGAGTTTCATAATATTTGTTTGTTATTTAACGCCGCACTCAGCAATATTCCAGTTATATGGCAGCGGTCTGTAAATAATTGAGTCCGGACTAGACGATCCATGATCGACAAAAATCAGCATCGATCTACGCAATTGGGAAACAATGACAGTGTCTACCAAGACAGCGAGCCTGACCACCCGATCCTGGTAGTCGTCTCTTACGACAAGCATGGGTTTTTTAACCCGGATCTTCCAGGGTTCTACGCAATTGGGATACGATGACATGTGTCAACCAAGTCAGCGAGCCTGACCACCCGATCCTGTAAGTCGTCTCTTATGACAAACGACAAGCAGGAGTTGTTGAAGATAAATTCTAACCCGGATCTTACGGGTAGTTTCATAATGTACACGTCTAGATTTGTCTCACTAATGCCGTGATATATTTGAAATCACCTTTAGGGATCCATTATCTCAGTCATTGCAACACATAAGGGTTTGTTGGGTTGCCTAGCGGTAAAACGTTCCCCCGTCACAATGTCGATGGTATTCTATTCTTTGGCACCACTCTCAATCCCAAACCATTCCACCCCAGCAAACCCCCAAATGCACCCAAACCACAACCTTGGTATGCTCGAATGATTAACTATATTACAACAATCCAAATAAAATAGTATTTAGTCGGAAATATATCTTTACGAAGTCCTCGTATGACATCGTCTAGTTTTTCATGGAAAGAGCATACTCGAGTGTTGTGAAAGTCACCAAATCTTTACACCAAAGACTGGAGGAGCGGAGATATGTCTCGACATACATTTGGCCAATGGAAAGTTAAAGTCATCCGTCTTGAAGAGAGTTTTTGTCCCTCTGACTCTTTGAGCTTAAATAGCCACTTCCAAGAATAACGGCGCGGTTGGGTAGCCTAGTGGTTACAGAACATGCACGTTCACGATACAGTGTTGTGTTTACCTATGCATAGTACATCGACTTAGCATGTTAAACGAATTACAGAATATGTCGTGTGTACAAAGAATATGCGGTGCTATGGTGTTTCAGAAAAAACCCAACTGGCTGACCTTTTGAACAGACTGTCGGACTATTTTGTGGGGACAACAGTTATTAACTTGCCTGAAACAGGATCCATTAGCTCCACAGTGACCAACAGTATAAAGCTTGTTAGAGCTATCCAGTATAAGAATATAGTTATTATAGCTGAGGACGAAAAGGTTAAAGAAATAATAACACAGGTAAGAAATATTACCTTTAAAATGAACTTCAGGCTGGATGTAAAATACTAGGAATTAAGACACGTTATCCAAACTGGGAATATGCTAAAAGCTAGATTTACATATTGCACTTCTTGCACCTGCAAACTTATTGTAACTGTCAATCAAATCCAACGATTGACCAATTTGATAGTCACTTCAGCTCACACCTTTCGAGAAAAGATGCAGTTATGCAGGTCAACAGTTTCATTGTTAGGACAATTGATAAACAATATAATCAATCCAGCGTAATGGGCGACTACAGGTATTGTAATATTTCTTCAATCAGTAAGGAAACGTGTCACAAAGGATGATTCCGTCTTAAGAAAGGTGTCAGACGAAGTTACAAATTAATCTTTGCTCTCTGGTAACTTCTCCCTGGTATTTACAATATACCATATGTGATTATATAACACACATAACTTAAAGTTGTAAAAATTTATAGATAAAGTCCATGCGTTTCAATATGCACGTAGCATTTAGAAGTAAACAAATGATACGTTAAACGAAAACTTAAGGTCCTAGGGTTACTGCCTTGTTCTGGAATTTTCCAATTACAATATGGAAATCTGATGGTACATTGCATTTTCCACATTCTTACATTTGCAGGCTTACGACTTCCTCATGCTTGGACAGAAGTACTTCTGGATAGTTGTGTCGGACAGTCTGACGTTCCCAACCTTGACCTCCATGTTGAAGGAACGTAGTAACGTTGTCGTTATAAGGACGGAGCACAAAGGGTCTTGGGGTGAATGCAACAAGCACGCGCCGTTGTCATGCCCATTGTACAACCGGACGCAGGTACGAGAACAAATTGACACTGTCAGGCATGTTGTATACATGCGTCACAATATATGTCCAGCAGAAGGAATACACGTCAACACAATTAACTGAACAATTACTCGATATTATGCCTTTCACAATTCCTCACTTGCAATTGACATCACATTTTGACAGCGTTTTCCACGAAAATCGCCCCACCAACTCTTTAAGGCATTTGCTGTAAAATAAAATACAAACCAAATGATGTAATTACATTTGAGCAGTTGGAATGAACGTGAAAAGACTTTAAAAAGCCCTTATACATTGATAGAGTGAGTGAGTGAGTGAGTGAGTTAACATTTAACGTCACCTCGGCAATATTTGAGCCAAATAGTGACGAGAAATGGTGGACATACACAATGAATACAAGTAGGTAAATAACCAGTCATCGACGGACTGCAAAATAACTAGAGTATCACAGATTTGGATATAAAACTAACACATTTGAATTATAGCAGACAATACAGTATAAAACACGGGCTATAGATCGCCAACAACTGAAACATTGATAGAGAATTTTCAGGATTTTTTGTTTTGCTGTCTATGAATTGGTCTTCATACTTATGGCATCCCTGTAGGATGAAGGTTATATATGATGTTGTTAATTTTGTTACAAACTTTTATTCAAAAGAAAAATGGACCATTTTTACATAAGGTTTCATTCCATTCTTGCTAAAACCGGCGTAAAACTCAATCCACTCACTCACTAACTGGCAAACAGTTCAAGTCTCTATGAAAACGACATATATTTATGACATTATCTCAAATACCGGGAACAGCAATTTGTTGTCACGAAATGGCATTGATCCCTGAGGTAGGCAATCAAACACTATGTGTTTGCGTCAGCTATATTTATATTGCCTTCCTGTATTCGGTTCAGTAGAATTTCGTAAATTGACAGTATCTTTATCTTTGACATTTGATTGAATGGGCTTTGATTGAATACCCGATGGAGTGAAATTGACACTTGCTTTCACCACATTGATTTTCAAGTAGCTGTTAACGGCAAATAGACTCCTTTGTCATGTCACACCTAACTAATACATTTTTTTTTTAAACCATGACTGACCATACACAGGAAATACATTTGTATGTAATTGATGAGAATAATTAATATTGAGACTGAAAATGTGTAATTTTGATTTGGTTTATTAGTGCTTTACGGTTGACGATATTTAACTGAATCCACTAAGGAAGTACATGTTATTAAATGTTTGTTTTGGACTTCGTATCTAGAGAGGGCATCGCATATCACATATGAGAAAAGGAAATACTAAGGTTTTGGGATACATTGATCTTGAGGATACACTTGAGTGATTTCAGATTCACACTCAAACAGTTTCAACAAGGAACGGCTTTCAAGGCTAGACATTCAGTGTGTGTTATACACGTACATGTGAACAATGAAATCTGAATGTATCAAGTTTATGTAGATTGTAATGAAGGACAGTGAGATCGGTTGGAAAACCTTACTTCGTCACGACAGAGATTCGGGGTTGATATAACGCCGAATCTTTGTCTACCCCACCATAGTATGTTATAATATATATATAATATATGTGCTAAAATGTGCCTTAGAAAAACTACTTAAACATTATGACGATTGCAAAGCTCAACCCTTGCCTCACTGTTTGCGTGTGTGGGTTAAAACAGGTAGCTAATGCTATATCTCCTTGTCCGCTCGTCACGACGAAGACCCGTGTTCGATTCCCCACATGTGTACACTGTGTGAAGCCCATTTCTGGTTTCTCCCGCCGTAATATTGCTGGAATATTGCTAATCGCTGCGTAAAACCACACTTCCTCACTCACTCTTCTGCTGATGTATTGAATCGAGGGTGATGTTGTTGTTTTTATCGTGTGTTTAGGTCTATCTGATGGAAATACAGGACGCATTCCACATCATCACGCATTCCACGCAACAGATCTCACAACCAGATCTGCTTCTCAATCTTGGTTCAGTGTGCACAGATGTAATTACAACCGAGAACAATACCCAGCTTGTATCAGCGAAGAGGGAACTGGTAAATATGATCAGAAAGGTGTGTACTCTTCGGACACTTGACACTATGTAGTGACATATAGAACATATAGAACGCAAAAGAATACACAGTCTTGACTATCCTCAGAAAGAAATTACATTTGGTGTGAAGGGAAAAGTAGCTGGGAAAAATTACATGAATGGATCACTGAATATGATGGCACCAGGTGTTCAGTGATGACACGAGGTGTTCGTGAAAAGGTTAGACATGTCCTGCCAGTCAGGAGCACCTACCACTCATTGCGGACAAATTAAACAGATCATACGAAGTTGGAAACAGTTCTGTTGGGTTTGACGATCGCACACTGTAACTACTACTACTGCTTCTATTGCTACTGTAACTACCACTACTACTACTACTGTAACTACTACTACTACTACTACAACTACTACTACTAGTACCAACACCACTTCTACTACCACCACTGCTACTACTCTACTGCTGCTACTACTACTACTATTGCTACTTCTACTACTACTGTTACTACTTCTACTGCTACTGTAACTACCACTACTACTGCTGCCGCTACTGATACTGCAACTACCACCACTACTACTACTATTACTACTTCTACTTCTACTGCTACGGCTACTGTCTTTACTACTACTACTACTACTACTACAACTACTGCTACTGCTGATGTTACTGCTACCACGACGACACATCCCAAAATCGATATGTATGATCAAAGTGAGACAGAAGACTTAGATACACAAAACAAACAGAACGGCAATTAGCTGGCATAACAGATCACAGGGAGTAGAGTCTCCGGTTGAGTGTCAAACATAGTTCCATATCATCAATACATACATGAAACACATTGTAATCCCCCAATCCCAAACTTAAAGTTTACATGCATGAGTTATACCAAACGAGAAACTTAGCACGAAAGAATATACTCAATAACTATCTGCCACTACGTCCACAGATAAGAATGACATGCTCCTTGTCTTAATCGAGACAGAACCCGTGGTCCAATACACACATAAATATACCTAGTAGTCTTTGGTTAAGTATTGGCATTAGAATTTCTAGGTTAATAGGCAATTACGGCCTACTTGTACGTCAAGGATACTATGGCACAACTTAGTGTCACAATATTTAAACATTAGATTTTATTGACCCAAGATCATTATCGAACACTTTCTGTTTACATGCTTATATATTACGTAATGGTACACACATGAGGTTTTTACATATCACACAAGATTGTGGCATATTGCTTCTCACAACACGGTTTGAGGATATGTTAGTATGTATAGTACTTTATTGTTTATACTTTATGAACTGCAACTAACTGAACCTGAAGCCTTGTTTGTCATGAATCAAATGGAATCATTCATATCATCACTGACAGAATTCCACAGAAACATATAGCTGTCACGTTCTCAAGCCAAGTACCAAACTGTACTCAGACCAGATTTAAGACATTAATTACAGCTCTTTAAAACGAAATTTGGAAGATTATTCGAAACTGACCCTCAATTTTGTATATCAGGTTTATCAATACGAGGCGACAAAAGTATCAGAGTACGAGGCAAGTATAGGAGTGTTAACCTGATAATATCTGATATACCAGTTGTGTTTGTTTTGTTTGTTGTTCACCCTGTTATGTGTAAATAATCGAATCTGAACCAGACAATCCAGTGATCAACATCATGAGCTTCGATCTACGTAATTGGCACACGATGAAATGAGTCAACCACGTCAGTCAGTCAGTCAGTGAGTTTAGTTTTACGCCGCAGCAATATAATATTTCAGCTATATGGCGGAGGTCTGTAGATAATCGAGTCTGGACCAGACAATCCAGTGATCAACAGAATGAGCATCGATCTGCGCAAGTGGGAACCCATGACATGTGTCAACCACGTCAACCAAGTTAACAAGCCTGACCTCCGGATCCCATTAGTCGCCTCTTGGGACAAGCATGGGTTACTGAAGATCAATTCTAACCCGGATATTCACGGGTCAACCAAGTCAGAGGACCTGACGGCTGATCCCGTAGTCGCCTCTTACGACAAACATGGATTGCTGAAGAACAGTTCTAACCCATATCTCCATGGTTATACTATAACAGTATAAACCACAATGTATACATTCGTGTGAACAATGCATGTACTTATATCAATAATTCAAAATGTTTTCAGGGAAATATTGCTAACCCAGCAAGCAAGGTTTATCTCTCTAGAACAGTGTACAATATGATATTTTGCACTGCACAACCATTCACATTTTGTTTCAGACAAGCTTTGTCGGGAAAGCAAGAAACTACAAATTTGACGAAGATGGCTTTGTGATGGAGAGGAGCTACAACATCGTCAGCACATCTGACAAACGTCCAAACTGGTTCTATAACGTCGGTACTTGGTCAGAGCAGAATCGCCTGGAGGTGTTTGATGAAGAGATATTCGAAAATACTTTCAGAAACTTTGGAAATACAACATTACGCATCGGATCTCAAGAGGTAGATACAAGCTTGTACGTTGTAGGTTTAATGATATATGTGGCTCAGTGATGAACAACCCGTGAAGATCCGGGTTAGAATTGATCTTCAGTAACCCATGTTTGTCGTAAGAGGCGACTAACGGGATCGGGTGGTCAAGCTCGCTGACTTGGTTGACACATGTCATCGTATCCCAATTGCGCAGATCGATGCTCATGCTGTTTATCAGTGGATTGTGTGGTCCACACTCGATTATTTACAGGACGCCGCCATATAGCTGGAATATTGCTGCGTGTGGCGTAAAACTAAACTCACTCACTCACCCAGTGATGAACAGTACCATAGCGACAAGAATCGCCATAATTCAACATCAAATTGTTTTGTTTTATATTGGAACGTTTGCAGAACAGACTATATCTATAAATCAGCTGGTTCGTATGTGCCAACCTCACGTTGCCTTTACCATCAGAAATGAGTTAAATGATTAAAGCAACGAGAGAAATATCTAATTCCGAACAATATATTATGCTACCTCAAATGGCAATATTAGGCTCTGGCATGAGTCTGTTAAGAAGTTGTACCTCGTATGTGTACCTATACCTGTATATGGTAGGATTTTAAGGTATTCACAATACACCAAACAACAATGAACTTATTATGTAGCATTGTCAATCTTATTGAGTACGTCAGATAGGTGACTGTGGGCAATTTTAGGAAGTTGTGTTTGTCGTCTCAGACAGGTTCTGGGTTTTGAATTTGTGGTGTATGCGATCGTATTTCTGGTGATGATTTCCATGTAATATTTTTATATTATTTTATATTATGTGTCTGGATGTCAAGGCCTAAATATCTCGAATTTCCGTATATCTCGTTACGAATACGGTCCTGCTAGGGTCGGAGTAACGGGTTTCTTCTGTATTCAAACTCTGTTATATGTTTACTCATACGTGTCTACAGGCTCTACCATTTGTTGTGAAGAACATCATTAATAATAGAACTGTTTTCACCGGATTCTGCATCGACATACTAGACGAACTGGCGCTAAGGTTCAACTTCAAGTAAGCATTCACATAACATTACCTTTATACCAACGGCTCCGAACCACGGGGGACATTAATTGGCATTTCATAATGTAATACTTCAAAATGGAGACGTTTGGAACTCTCACCAGATCCTAAGGCCTTATCGCTTGACCAAGACTACATCCAGATCATATCAACAATCTATGTTTTGCGACATATGAATAAATTAATTTGATGATCCAATATCATTTCCCAGTGTGATGTATGACAATTATATTGATGATGATCAGATAATGGTTATTATACGCATTTGTAGGGAATGGGGTTGAAGGGTTTGGAAGTTGAGTATCGTTTTGAGAGTCAGTATGTCGATTACTCTGCACGAAATTACCTCCAATCATTTTCGGAATGTAATTCTTTTCATAGTGGAACTCTTTTATGTCTTGCTTCAAGGTGACCTTTACCCCACGGTATGTTGCTCCCCTGCGAATCTCAGTGACATCTTTGTTTATCAAACCATGTTATCTTCTGGGAACATGACCTGTTAGATGTTTCTGTAATACCCATAAAGCGTGATTAATCCCCAGACACCTTGTAGTCACAGGCTGATTGGGTCGGGGCAGATTATGTATCCACGAAAATCAATAAAACTCATGATTACATGAGTTTTACGACATGTGATTTACAACATGTAACTGTCATCATTATGGCTCATTCAAACGATATCTTCTTCAATGGACAGGTACATCAATTATTGCCCACATTGGAAACTTGATTAACGATTATGTACTTTATTGTATAGGAAGAGATGATTTCACACATTAAAATACTTGACAATGGCCATTTCAGTTACACTATTGTTGAACCGGCAGACAGGATATGGGGAGCTCCAATCAATGAGGACAATGACGAATGGAATGGGATCGTTGGAATGATTGTGAGAAAGGTTAGTCAGGAAAATCGTTTAGGTTAAATTTGCGTGAAAACTGGACATTATATATATCAGCGATAATTGTCCATCTCCTTTGTACAAGAACGATTAGAAGCATTAAGTGCAACCATGTATTCCCGTGGCACGTGTGTGTTTGATTGAGTTTTTCTTTCAAGTTAAACAAAAGATGTGTCCGCTGCTGATTCAAGGACCTTTCATTTTCTTCGAATGAACACTTTGTCTATAAGTAATTGATGCACATGTGATCTTGAACAGATATTTTAATTAATGTACACTGGACATGACGGAAATATTATTTATTTGGATTTATCCATGATTTCAACTCTTATCGGAAAAATATCACGAAAAGCTCTCGAACTCGCATTGTAAGGTTTGTGGACCTTTAACGCGATAGTGTGAAATGAACAATTACATATTTTCAATTCTTTGCATATACTTTATAATGATCGTGAATGTTATGTTGTATTCAAATGTGTTACCTGTAACATGTATAAATAATTAGATAAACGTTTTGTGAGAAGGCATAAGAAACATATAAACATATATTATTGTTTTGCAGGGCTCTGCACTTCCTGTTAACCCAGTCAAAGTGTTTCAAATATGCGTTTGATACATGTTCGTTACAATTTTCGTTGTACCTTCTGTATCTGTATTGTTACGCTGAAGAAATCAAAGGTGGTATAATTACAGCGAATGAGAGAGAGTACGTGAAAAGATCTTAGTCGCGGAAACCGACTGCTTGTCGGAATCCCTCGACGCTTCCACTGTTGACAATGTTGTCAGGCAGTTGATTCCAGTCGGTGACAGTTCTTATGAAGAAAGATTCTCGGTATTGGTCGGTCCTGGAAGTTGGTGTTTGGAAGCCTCCATTGTTGTTGCACACGTATCTGTTGATGATGCTGGTGGCGTCATGGTCTTTAAAGGTGGTAGCTTTGATGTCCCGGCCTGGTCTTCTCGGCTTCAGGTATGGAATAGCTGGTACTAAACCCTCAGCAATATTGTACATGTAGGCTAGTCTGATGTCTTGTCGCCTCTTCTGGAGTGGTGGCAGGTCAAAGTCCCCCAAGATCTTAGTGATACGTCCTGCTTCTCTTGATGTGTAGTTGCCGGACACAAATCTTGCTGCACGGTGCTGGATTGTCTCTAGCCGATTGATGTGTCCCTTCTGGTAGGGATCCCAGACAACACGTCCATACTCCATTATTGGTCTTACCATGGATATGTAGGCTGTACGTTTACTGGATGGAGGGCAGGTTCTGATGTTCCTTCTTAAGATCCTAGTGTAGAGTTAGCTCTCTTGGCCACATTGTCAATGTGGGGGCCCCAGTTGAGATCTTCTGACAGTATTACTCCCAGGTATGGGTTCTGTGGCACCTTCTGGAGGATGTTGTTTTCCAACGTGTAGTAGCGACTACTTCTGCCACGCATACTGATGACTTCGCATTTCTTGGTGTTGAACTTCATTCCCCACGAGTCAGCCCATGAAGATAGATTTTCAAGGTCTTGTTGAAGAATGACATGGTCTTGCTGGCTGTTGATGGTTCGGTAAAGAAAACAGTCATCTGCAAACAGTCGTGTCTGGGATTTTACGCTTGCTGGAAGATCCTTAACGTGGCAGAGGAACAAGATTGGACCAAGGACAGTTCCTTGTGGAACACCGGACTCTACTGGCACTTGATCAGTTGTCTCTCCATCAAGAACAACTTGCATGGTTCTCTGTGTCAGGAAGTGCTGAAGCCATTGGTGAATTGGTCCACGTATTCCATAGGTTGTCAACTTGTGGAGGAGTTTTCTATGGGGCACTGTATCAAAGGCTTTAGAAAAGTCGAGGATAACACAGTCGATCTGTTTGTTTTTGTCAAAAGATTGCAAGAAGTCATGGATGGTGACAATCAGTTGGGATTCACATGAATATCCGCTTCTGAAGCCGTGGTTAAGATCTGTCAGGATATTGTTGTTCTCCAGGTGGGTCATGAGGTTACGACATATGATATGCTCAAGGATCTTGCAGGAGACGCACGTGAGGGAAATTGGTCTGTAATTCCCTGCTTGGTGTTTATCTCCTTTCTTATATACACTTGAGATATTTGCATTCAACCAGTCTGGTGGTAGGGTTCCAGAGTCGAGCGAGAGCTGGTAAATACAACTCAGACCAGGTGCTATGTTTAGGGCACATGTCTTCAAGACGGTGTTTGGGATGGAGTCTGGTCCTGGGCTTCAGCTGCATTGAGGTTTTTAAGCAGTTTGGCAATCCCGTTCTTGTCAATGGTGATGTTTTCAAGTGGATGTCGGATGGGTTTGTCTGCTATGTCTGGCATTGTGTCACTCGTTGCGTCTTTAGTAAAAACAGACAGAAACTGGCGCAATAAGAGGTTGGCTTTAAGCTTGGTATCACTTAGTGGGGAGACTCCGATGTTACCTTGTTTCTTGGATTTGATGAGACGCCAGAAGGGTTTGGTGTTGTTAGACTTCATGCCTTCGTCAATGATGTTGTTCACGTAGTCCCACTCGGCTTTCCTGACTGCGCTCTTACACTCACATTGATAGTGTCTGTAGTTTGTCCAACATTTTGTGTTCTTGGCTTGCTTGTATAGCCGATTTTTCCTCCTAATCATTTTTGTGATAGGACGGTTGACCCATTGGAGGGATCGACCTGAGCTGGATAATCTTGATGGGATGTTCTTGTCAATACTCCTGGAAAGATTGTCTCTGAAGTGAGTCCATAGGTCGTTAATGTCGGTGGTGCTTCATGATCTGAAAGTCCGGGGATTGACACAGATGACTTTACCAGGGTTGGATTGGTTGTGAATACAAGGTCTAGTATGTTGCCTTCTCTGGTAGGTGACTTGTGGATCTGTGTGAGGTTGTTTGCAGTTAAATCGATGAGTGCCTGTTGTATGGTCTTCTCAGGGGCGTTGTTTGAAACTGTTTGCGTTTTCCAGTCTATATTTGGGCAGTTGAAGTCACCCACCAAAATAACCTGTTTCGGATTGGGAGTGTTGAACAGCTTTTGTAGAGATGAGTCAAGTTCGTTGTCGTCAGATATGTTTCTATGTGGCATATAGAAGTTCCCAATGTGGAGTTGTTTGTTTCTGTTCAATTTTATTTTACCCACTCGACTTCACTGTTTCCAATCATGTCCAGTTCTTCTTCAGATGTGATGTTATCTTTTACTAACATGAAGATGCCTCCACCAATTGAGCTTCTGTCATTTCTGTACACGTTGAACCCATTAGGGAAGATCTCGCTTGATTTGATTTGGTCGTGTGTGGGTTGTTTTCCGGGTTGTATCCCACGTAGCCATGACTCGGTCGAACAAACAATGTCTGGTTTGACATAGTCTAGGAGTACAGCCAGCTCAGACCTTTATCTAATACACTCCTGCAGTTCAGTGTGAGCATACGGAGATTTTGCTTTTCAGGTAGATCATAGATTGACTTTTGTTGTGATGTTGATGTCCTTGATGAGCACGATGACGTGTGTGTTGATTTGGATTTGCTGTTTTGTGCCGTTGTGTTTCGACTGTGACTTGGACTGCTTGTCTTCAGTGGGCTGACTACAATCTCAGAGTGTATCGAGTCGATAGTTATATCTGTTAAGGGTGAGTAGAAGGTACAACATTCGAGTTAATAACTGTTTAGTAGTTCAAAATCCTTTGAACACATATCGACGCACGTCTTGTGGTACCATACGTTTCAGTCATCACATGCGACTCCAGCACGAGACCATGTGAACGGGTGGCCACAGATACCACATGGGAAAATGTTATTGGTGTGCACTGGGGTCCCTGGATTAGTTTCGATGTCTCCTGCAAGTAGTAGTATTAATATGATCATTGTTACTCTTGGCTTTTGTTTGAGCAGTGGTTGGGAATATAGTTGTAGGAAATGACGCGGTTTAATCTCCTTCAGAATAATCTGTGTACAAGTCATGAGTCTTGTCGATGGTGCCGTACTGTTTGGGGAGTGTACATAAGAAAGAAAAGTAAAAAACACGCATAGAGCGAGTGCGTAATGCATAATGCAGAGTAGCCGACAGGCAAGCAGTATGGCCGTCGTTGTGTGTTGACAGTCAGTGACAGCGTCCGATCTTGGGCTGTGTTCACCTATTTACCAGGTGTTTTCCATCAACTTGGTGCTGGATCTTCGCAGACGTGTGTTGGCAACAAATCACAACTTGTTTTCTGATTGAATGTTCAATAAGACCAGAGACATTTCAGTTTGTAGCTCTCTGTGGTGAATCTCTCTCTTCCTTTACAATAGCCACATATTCCAAAAGCTACCATTACAGAATCGTTATTATATCCTGTATTTTATATATATCTCTTTTCTATATTTCAGGAGCTAGACTTCGGGGCAGGTCCGTTTACCATAACCTCAATACGGGAAACGGTCATAGACTTTACCAAACCCTTCATGGAAGACGGAGCAGGAATAATTACACGTAGACCAGATGGAGAGTCCCGGAAGATGTTCAAGATGTTCACACCGTTCGCCCCTACTGTGTGGGGCTGCATTGTCTTGGCGATAGTTGTAGTGAGCATCTTGCTCTACCTTGTCAACAGATACAGTCCATATGCTGCCCATAAGGTGTTACAGAATGCAAGTCAGGAAGGATCCCGTGCTGAAGTGATGAGCCTGAAGACAACATTCTGGCTGATCTATGGTTCCTATATGGAGCAAGGTAATGTTTCAGTTAACTGATCTGATCATTCTCCTGAAAGGGCAAGGAAAAGCCGAAAAACGTTGTGTATACAATAAAGAAGAAGTTGACATCTATAATATTTTGTCATAAACTTGAATACCAACTTCTATATGCCTCTCCAGAACCTCAGTTAACTGATCATTTCCATTTCATAGCAAAACTATTTGTACATTTTATAGAGGAACCTTTGCTTCGCGTATGCTGCTCGTAGGATGTCACTAAATGAATCAGAAGTTCAGAATCGCAGGCTTGCTTAGTAATATACCAAACGGTGTAGTACTTACATTAACAACTGTTTCGTTTCTGGTTCAAGCTCTATTCTTTACAGGATGTTGTGGGAATGTTGCACGGCGATCATCAGAAACATTTATACATTTGCATTTGGGAGAGTCATACTTGTAGAGCCAAGGTCTAAATATCCCTTGTGAAGAAAAGTTATATTTCCTTACGAATCTTCACATTTAGGTTGTTATTGCAGAGGAATAATATAGCTAAGCATTTTGTTCGCTATGGAAACGTGTTTGTGGCAAAGTCTATCATTTACGTAAATGACACTTTCATCTAAGAAGATTATATTTACATCTACGTCGGTGATAGTAACATCTATGTAGATGATATTTCTATTTTTGTGGATTCTGTTTAATATATAGTATCTGTAATTCTACATTTAGAAATCGGGTATTTCCGTTGTGTTTTTCACAGAATCTCTCCTTACCCATCCCTTTGCTCCTGGTTTTACAGGTGGAGACCCTCACCCAAACAGCATATCGGGCCGCTGTATTCTGGGGTTTTGGTGGTTGTTTACTATTCTGATGGCGTCAACTTACACTGCCAATCTGGCCGCCTTCCTCACAGTCACCATCGCAGAGAAGCCCATCAATAGTCTCACGGAACTAGCAGCACAGGATGAAATGCAACCTTTGGTCAAATTTGGAAGTAACCTTTACTCACTGTTTAAGGTAAAGTCATGCCGAAGACCCGGGTTCAAATCCCCACATGGGTACAATGTGTGAAGCCCATTTCTGGTGTCCCCCGCCGTGATGTTGCTGGAATACTGCTAAAAGCGGCGTAAAACCAAACTCAGTCAGTCAGTCAGTCAGTTTAAGGTAAAATACATTATGTGCCTTTATGTAAACGCACAACAGGCGTCACTGTAGGACTTCAGGACTCAGTGATTTTGTTGATTGCATTGTAGCCCAACATAGGGACCCATCCTAAAACTATCAGTTATTTGCATGCTGTTGTCACTCAGCTGGAACAATACGGCACCAACCAGCGCAACATACTACCAAAACCTGCTGGTTGAATGGTCACACTCAGCAATATTCCAGCTATATGGCGGCTGTCCGTAAATAATCCTGTCTGGACCAGACAAACCAGTGATCAACCTCATGAGCATCTATCTAGGCTATTGGGATACGATGACATGTGTCAACCAAGTCAGCGAGCCTGATCACCCGATCCCGTTAGTCGCCCCTTACGATAAGTATGGGTTATTCAAAACAAATTCTAACCCACAACCATGGTATTGCATGTGTTGCGTTAGCTTAAGACCAGACTGTGATAAAATCTACGTGACGTGTGTGAATCCAATTTCAGCATCCATACACCATACACTCACGTATACAGGACTTACACCGAATGGATTTCACAGACCTACATCCTAAAGTGTAAAGAATGTTGAAATACATTGTTATCACTCTAAATCACAAGGAAAGTAATTGGACGCGAAAGGTTTGCATATTTTGTGGGTGGAAGCAGGATTGCAGTGGCCGTCCCTTTACAGTATCAGGAATAATGCCCCGGTGTCAATTATGAAGGTCCCCACATGATATGATGTACAATAATACGTTATTCAATGTCCGTTATCTTCGCATTCGTTGCGGTTCGGTGGGGTAGCCTAGTGGTTAAAGCGTTCGCTCGTCACGCCGCCAAAGACCCGGGTTAGATTCCCCGCATGGGTACAATGTGTGAAGCCCATTTCTGGTGTCCCCCTGCCGTGATATTGCTGGAATATTGCTAAAAGTGGCGTAAAACCATACTCACACAACCTCAATACTCACTCACGTTTGTTGCAATTATTCGTATACATTTATGAAAAAGACGTCACTATATACCTGCAATAATCTGTAACGCGGCATTAAACCCCCTTTCATTTCACCTATCTCTTTTAGGATGCTGAATCTGGAGTATATCAAGATGTGTGGGAAAAGATGGGGGGTTCCCCTGAAGTAAAGAGCAATGACGAGGCGCTGCGTCATGTGAGAGCGGGGACAATGGCGTACATGACAGACAGGTCACAGTTGGAGTACATTCTGTTGCATGACTGTGAACAGTACTCCCTGGCGGACGAAATCTTCAACACGGCGGGACTCGGATTCGTTGTTCCAGAGAACGCACCGTTCTTAGAGGCATTTAACTATAAGTAAGCATGGTACTTGTTCTCATGAGAATATATGGGTCAGTGTTTCTTCTTCGAGACGGTTGTGATATTCTCTGAATGTCTAGGTCGATGTTCACCAAGACTCACCAAGGGGTCCAGTCGTCCAAGTCGCCTTGTACTGTGCATAGATGTGTTATTTTGGAACGCAGCCTTTGATCCTGGTTCGAATCCCGGTTCTTTGATTCTAGGTTTGTCTGTGCCATAAATGTGCTTGTGGCTTTATCATAGTGGTAAACGTCTGAGACACGCAGTTCTTCCACCCGTGAAAATCCGGTTTAGAATTGGTATTCTTAATTACAGGCCTTTTTTAACAGAAGCAATTATTTTAGAATTAACACTTTAAATGTTTAAATACATTCAACCTTACAACGATCAGATAAAGCTTATTTCAGAGCACCGTGAAAGGGCCCGTTAAGTGCCTCACAGGGATGTTAGGGCATCCATATTTTGAAAGAGTTTCTCATCGCCAACCTCAGTCAGCAATATCGTGTGAGTGAGTATTATTTTACGCCGCTGTTAGCAATATTCCAGCAATATCACGGCGGGGCACAACACAAATGGGCTTTGCAATAGAGCGGGTAGGGAAACAAATGAACGAATATAAGATGTTTTCCCTGAACGCAATTGTAATATACTACCCATCAAAAGTTAAGACTCACCTTAAGCACGCACTATATGTTATGTATATATATGTGGTTACATCGAAGATGGATTTCTCCACTAACTTGGGGGAACCAACTGCAAACTTTATGCAGGTGAATTGTACGAGGATTACGCATAAAAATTGCTGAAAATCATGTGCAAATATCGTTCATGTGAACAGCTGCGTTTTGGTGTAAAGTTTTGTTAAGAATTCGCCAAATTTAATGAATTCATGACAATAATCTTTTCAACGTTACGAATTTGTTTTACAATACATCTCCTCCTGTGTAAACAGTACCTTTAAACTGTATGGAATATTTTGCTAAATCAAGTTTAGAACAGTTGACTGAAGTAAGTGGCTACATTTACACTAGTGAGTCGAAACTATTGATGGGTAGGATATTTAGATCACTTGATAATAGATCTTTTATTAATTATTGATGTAGATCCAGTAACTTTCCTTGGGAAACATTTTTATTGTATAGGGAGTACTATATGGTATAGTAGAGATAAAGAAAGATTAAGATGATCTGGTGTTTCATGGCACTGCTGGGTTGTTTTGGGTTCACACTAGGGCATAAAAGTTCCGCAGCGGGGAGAGTCTGAGATAAAAAAAAATTCTTATTTCAAGTCAAGGTGAAAATTCAAGGTGGGTTGGAGAAGGGAAACACAGGAAGACGCTTAAGTTGAAACCCTTTATGTCTAACCCGTGAAGATCCAAGATCTTCAGAAACCAATGTTTCTAACAGAATCGGGTGGTTAGGCTCGCTGACTTGGTTGACACATGTCATCGTATCCCATTTGCGAAAGCGATGCTGATGATGTTGATCACTGGATTGTCTGGTCCAGAGTCGATTATTTTTAGACCGACGCCATATGGCTGGAATATTGCTGTGTGCGGCGTTAAAGAATAAAACACATAACATAGAATCAATATTTCACTTTTGTGAATGAAGATGGTTTCTACCGAAACCACTTCAAGTATATCTGACTAACAGTATACAGATCAATAAGAAAAGAAACAATTAATATTCGACTATTCATGTGAACCATGTACATTCACAGTCAAATTAACAATCTGCAACACATTTCTTCTGATTGTGGGAAGATTTTATCTCACGTTTGTTTATATCTGGTTTGACCCGAAAACCGAAATATTTCTTTTATATCTTGTCCCATTTTCTTTAAGAGTCCAAGTAACGAACATAAAGTCTCGTGTTGCAGCCCACACATCGCGAATGACTAGACACAATTTGTATTTGTATACACGACAAGACTCCAAGCCTCAATTCATGTCAAATTAAAAGCCAAAGTGTTATTTCCAACTTAAACGTTTGTGCAAATAGCGGAAACGCCCCAGGGAAGGCTTTCTCATCAAATACACTAGATAGTTGCATTGTTTGTTTCCCTTGGTCTTCATTCGTAACAAGGTATTGCGTGTAGATCTAGACTGTGTTAGTATCACTACCAACATTGATTTAGATCTAAAGAACCAATTTCGTCCATTTATTTTATTGACTTCTACCAAAATGTATTTGTGTGAAACTGAGATAAAACACTAATTGTTTTCCATTTATCTTAATACTATCCGCAAGCATTGCTTCTAAAGCTACACGCAAGGAACTACATGATATCCATTAATGATCCCGTGATCTGCATGTTAAAATTAGTCCACTCTTCCGAAGTGACTTAAAAGTAATTTGATCTATATAGCTCTGCACTTCGTAACACCATTAGTTTTAACTATAGTAATTGTGACAAATAATACTTTGTAAACGAGATGCACTGGAAATCATCTAAACAATGAGGTTATTTCATAAAACACTCAATACTTTTTTCTAACACCATGCTTCGAACGTCAAACAGCAAGGACAATCAAGCAAATAACGGACTTGCAACACATGGTACATCTGACTTGATCAAAGCTGTGACAGTTTGCCCCGAAGCCGAATAAGTTGTAATGTTATGCTGTTTGTGTCTAATCAAACGTAGTGACACTTGGTCGATAACACCTGCTATCATCAAAGTTTGAAGGGGATACATGCTTATGATACATCAATGATCAATCGACACTGCTTTGTAGAGATTTTTATAGATGTGAAAAGGGCTTTGTCTATTTTATCTCAGATTTTTAACCTCGAGTATGATCTTTGTAATAGTCAGAGAATTATTCAGTATTGGGAATAATGGAAGGTGAGATGATATATGTAGTTGAATATTTTAGATTGAAGCAAAGTATTTTCCACCGAAAACTATGTATACTATAAACTATACATATTACAGCCATGTACAGATAATATTTATTGAACTTGAATGTGAAATTATTATTACCGTTATTATCTTAAGAATGTTCGATGTATTTATTACAAGCGGCTGTCATACTTTATTCTAGAAATAGTCCTCGTAGCATGCATTTTAGGTAGGGTGGAAACTCAGTTCTATAATTAATTTGGAGTTTTACATTCTTATGGTATCAATGTCATCTTGAAAGTAAACCTTTTTTTCAATTTTTAGCATTATGAAGATGCAGGAAGCTGGCATGATCGATAAATGGAAGCAGAAATGGTGGCCGAGTTCAGACAAGTGTGGCGGTTCAGACAGAACAAGCTCGGCAACAATATTAGGTCTTGACAGCTTGGCGGGACCATTTCTTATATATGCTTCCGTGGTGGGAGTGGCCTTGCTGTGCCTTATCCTTGAGCTTGGGCTTCATTTAACTAAACTGAACATGTTGTGTCAAAAGTTAAAGCAATATAAGTCTTCAGGAACACAGGACTCATCCCAGAACCGCAGTGACCCAAGGACGTAACGGACATGAGTGACGTTGTGGTCTAATAGATGGCCATCTTCTATATTCAACTGACTCTTGGCTGTCACCTTGTATGAGGCGTGGGATCAAGTGATTCTGGGTGTTATTAACAGATCAGCTTGTGATTGATCTCTGTGCTGTCATAATTATGACCGTGTGTATAATGTACAACATTTTTTGACACAACAGATAACGGTGTGTATGGTAATACGAGTCCTGTACAGAAGAGGTAACGGTATTCATGTAATATATTCATGGCAACTAATATTTTGCCGATTTCATCATTTGCATCTGTGATGTTTTTTTCTTCCACGGCGATACTGACATCATGACGTCATAATTGTCCATATGATGTCATCCGTTTGTTACGTCATTATTGACCCTGTCCACATTTTGAGTCGTACCGATCCCATTGGTGGTATCGAAAATATGTCTCTTCGCTTGTGAACACGTCATGGTATCTTCCTTGTATTGTACTATACGTTCCTGTACATATATCAGATGACAGATGACTTGCCTTCATATGTGTTTTGAGGGTTGAGTGGTGGTGCTGGATGGGTACGCTCAACTGTTCGGGAACCCTTGGTATGTTAACTATTTGATATTAATGTAATATTAACAATAACATGGTTTTTAACAGATTCAGAATTGTACAAACAAGTTTGAGATTTTTTGTGGGCATGTTAATGGTTTTGTCGATTTTATATACATGTATCAATTGAGGAGTTTAGGGTATTTTACGAGATACACGTTTCAGTAATTTCACACATCGTAATTGGGTCGCATTCTGCCGTAGGTCCTCACACTGTAACACATGCTACTAATATTGGCCATGCATTGTATTACTACTGCATGCTCATTTTCGGTTTAATGATTATTGATTTCGTTGTCAACTGTTTTATTTGTAGAGTACGCCCTTGTTGTTTATGCAACATAAATAGTCAAATATATGTGCCTTTCTTAGGCATTTGACAGTGTAAATATAATTCACTAACGCCAATTTCGATAATACAATTATGTTAAACAAAATGTAAAAGTGTCGTTTTCTCGTTCTGTATGAGTACCTATTCCCTCTGTAGTGACTCTCAAAGCATGTAGAATATGATGATGGAATACCAGATGATTCTATCATACATGTGCTTCATTAACAGTTACAAACATGTAGACAGGAAGTCAGGTCAATATGATCTCGAGACACTTCTGGTCTGGTTCACAAACAAGAATGTAGAGGTTTATGTGTGCTTCCACAGGATGACATTATCACGAATCGTTATCGTCGGCCTCCTTGACAAAAATGACAATAACAAGAAGACCGTTACCTGAACAAATGATGCTAGGTTTGATTGTAAACTTCATATCCAAACACTCGGGGCTTGGCCCAGTCTTTAAAAGCCATCATTGTGTTCGACAGATATACATTCAAGTCTCACAGTATTACCCAATAAGCAAGTCAGTAAAATAAATAACAATAATCTCAGACCTATATGCTATTCCTCTTGGAATTTGGAGAACCTAAAATTATAGACGCAGCATACAACTTCTGCAGCAAAACCACCCGGACTATTTCGCTTCGAAGCAAGTCGACAGGATTATCACATTTCCGTTTCAACGAATCAAATGTTCAAATATGTGTAAAAGCCCCGGGCTAGACTGTCCAGTAAGCCAGGTTTCGGAAAGTACGGAATATTGAACTGTTAGTACAATTACTATAGATATTCCTCCAAGTAAAAGACCTCCTCCGTGGTGTAGTGGTTAGAGCGTCCGCCCGGAGAGCGGAAGGTCGCGGGTTCGATCCCCGACCGCGTCATACCAAAAGACCTTAAAATATGGTACTTGTTGGTCCCTGCCTGGCGCTCGGTATAAATGGGTACAACAAGGACTGGTCGGCTCGAAGTCAGTATAATATGTCTGAGTGGGGTATTCATCCTTCACTGCGGCATGGTATCTCAGTGAGCTAGCACTATAAAACCAGCTTAAGTCTGGGCTAGTACAAGCAGCCGCACATATACATACACACGCACGCACGTCGTCATATGAGCGAAATATTCTCAAGCACGACGTTAAACCCAGTTTCACCTCACCTCCAAGTAAAACCGCTCTGTATTTCCCACGTCTTCTAATACATCTAGCCGATAGAGAAAACGTAACGCTATTGTGACTACATTGAACAGCTGTTAAGTGTGCTCTGACATGAAGCAATGGATTCTGTTAAGCATGTCATACACGTATTGGCGTACCTTCTACACATGGTAATCTGATCTTTTTAATGCAAAAATATTGTATGAAAAAATAACCTCCATTAATACTTAAACAAAATGTTTATTTTAAGTATAGAATTTAAAACGCTGCATCAACAAACAAAATGAGCACGTCGTGTTCTGTCAACCCTGCACGGACGTTCTAATGGCGTTCGATCAAGTGACATGTTTCGATCGCATTGATGTATTCGACTGTAACATTTTGTGTTTGACGGACTCATGTGGTATATAGCTCCAGGCGTTTGATATACAATTACAAGTTGTTAGGACGTATCACGACAGCTTGATGTTCACTAATGTCATTATATGACATGTTTATAAAATCATTACCTACCACATTCGAGTCTCCTCCTTCAGTGATATGCTTTCACACCTAGAAGGTTTTGTGTGTTTGCTGTCAATATCCTGTCAATATGTGATCTTGATCAAATAACCATTTTGGAAACAGTCGTGTTTAGGGTGTTTCTTAGAAGGGCAATTTTGTACAACATATCACGTTGTTGGAACGTTCTTTTCAAAGACGCTTTAAAGAAACATAATGATGTTCGATTACAGCATCATGTTATTGCAAGAATATAATACATCACATACGTGTGGACAAACTACCCGGTATTCGATTAATCGTGAATGAGTTTGGTTTAGGCCGCTTTTAGCAATATTCCAGAAATAGTACGACTGGGGACACCAGAAATGGGCTTCACATTTTACAGATGTTGGGAATCGAACCAAGACCTTCGGCGTGACGAGCGATCGCTGTAACCACTGGGCTACCCAATCGCAACTGCTTTATATATAGAATACCGTGAAAATCTATGTCTATGCTTAAAGACAGGCTTTCCGTACTAATCAAGATTCATGAGAAAAATGTAAATGTACAGGGGCTTGTTGCTTTAACACTTCAGAATCGTTACATAGAGGACGTTCGTAACATCACCTTATTAATTAAATGGCTCACATAATGGACATGCATTAGGGGTTGTATGCTTCCGTTCATTTCAATGCAATTGCAAAAATGACCCTTTATAATCTCCAAAGATGTCATCTCGTTATGCCTAAACAGGTTTCTGACCTATTTTGGAAAAGCTACCATATGCGAGAGTGTAACAGTAACGACAAATGAGAATTTACGCGATGATGGGAAGGCAAACTAGTGATGTAAAACATGTGACTAGATCATTTAATCTCAGTGATGCCAGGTGTTCGCATAACGTGTCATATTGGTCTACCACCACCACTCTCCACTCATATACGTTTCGGCTGACAAGCTGATTTCACAAGTTGAACGTCATGGATGACTTAACCAGGTATCTGATAGTGAAACCTGTATAAAAAGCTTCGAATTCATTGCCAAGCAAATGTGTCTTTCATGTGAAATGCGAGTAGAATTCTGATGTTGTAAACTACATGTTGTGCATGTTGAAATTGGATCAAATTGTTCTGGTTGTGGATTGTTCGTACATGTGGGTTTTACTCGTGATTATTAGAATTAGTTTTCAGCGACGCAGTCTTGTCCAAAGAGGCTGCTTACTGGATCGGTTGGTCAAGCGCATTGACTGGTCTGATGCATGGCATCGTTTCCACGATTTGCCTTGATCGATGTTCATTGTGTCAGTCACTGGATTGCCTAGTCCAGACCCATTGGAGTACAGACTGCCGTTTCATAACTGGAAAATACAGAGTGTGGCCTTAAACAACACACAATACAAACATGTTAAAACTGAAAAATGTTGACGTTTTATGTTGGAACTGTTATTATATTGTACGACACATAGGGACTATTACGACTGGCGAATAATTCTGAATTGCATAGATAATTAAAGGGGGCGGAACGTGGTTTCTCAGTCTTATCTTTGATTTCTGATCGATAGATAAAGTGAAAATACTCATTTATCTTTGCATTGTTGAATATCACAGATTTCAGAGACGTGTTCGTTCTTTGACTAAAGGAATAAACTGAGGATGACAATAAGCTAAAGGGGAACTACTTGGGGGAACATGAGAATCTGGTAAATGAGAAGCAGGTATAAATGCATTGACAAAATACATGCATTTATACGTTGTCATGCCTAAGATATCCAATATATATTGCCACTGAAACGTTCTACCATATGTTAGTTAAAACTCATGTCACTGCGTCGCCACTGCTATCAATCAATAACCTGTAAGGTGTTATTATATTTGGTTGAAAATGTATGTGATTCTATATGTACAAGAACCTGGGCCCCGTTTCACAAAGCTCTACGACTATCGTGAGTCAATGTTACAGTACAGTGTCTTTCTCTATTCCGGTACTCAAAAGGCCTCAGGCCTATAGTACAGCATATACATTGCTTTATTCACGATCAAGGAACAATACGCTTTCTATTACAAATGCGTGGAAAATATACATGGACGGGTTTTCGATTTCTTTTATTTGAACTGTTTAGCAGTATTGGAGGTAGGAATGCTGTGAGGAAAGTTAAGAGAGCTTTGTGAAATGGGGCCCTGGGCTACATTTAATGAAAACCACACTGTTTCAATCAGGTCGTGGATATGTGGAATTGGGCAGGAAGTGTGGGATGTGACTGCAGATGTATTTGTTTACAAGAAAGATATACATATTGTTGTCAGCAAAAATGTACAGGAATTGTCAACATTTACGATTTAAACCACATTTCATATGTGGAAAGTATTTGGCTGTTGTAAATTTAATGAAATTGGTATATCATTATCGCAGTTTTGATGATTTGGGTATGATAACATGTTCTATGAAAAGAGTGAGTGAGTTTACTTTTACGCCACACGCAGCAATATTCCAGCCATATGGCGGCGGTCTGTAAATAATCGAGTCTGGACCAGACAATCCAGTGATCAACAGCATGAGCATCGATCTGCGCAATTGGGAACCGATGACATGTGTCAACCAAGTCAGCGAGCCTGACCACCCGATCCCGTTAGTCGCCTCTTACGACAAACATGGGTTACTGAAGATCAATATTCTAACCCGGATCTTCACGGGTTCTATAAAAAGAGTTCATGCTGAAGGGAACCATTTCTGCAGAATGTGAAACAGTGAAATACTGAAGACTGCACGCATTATGAAGATCTAAGGATTCATTATACCCCATGTACATATACGTTCTGTCATTTAACAAATGTACTGTCAAAACGTAAATGTGAATGTGATCACCCGTTATTAATCATTTGTACTCCGAGCCTTTGGCTTACAGCTCAGAAATGAACAGATACTAAACACAAAGAACAAACGTTTACGTATCTGATTTCAAGTTCAGACATTAACAGATACTAGACTTTACACAAAGAACAACTGTTTACGTATCTGATTTCAAGTTCAGACATTAACAGATACTAGACTTTACACAAAGAACAACTGTTTACGTATCTGATTTCAAGTTCAGAAAAAAACAGATACTAGACTTAAAACAAGGAACAACCGTTTACGCTTTTGATTTCAAGTATCTTTTTGTCAAATATTACAAGAATGGAAAGTACGTTTTCAGGGTGAAAGCGGATGCTAATGTTGGAATTTGGAAAACTACAAAAGAATACTGACAGCTGTTGTTTGACATCCACGCTTAAAATTAACAGTATGGCGATAAGGTGAATAATGTACATTGCGGACCTGATCCCTTTATTTGTTTATGTAAGTTATCAATATGTTTGTAACACGCTGGCTTTGGGAACATACAACATTCAAACGTGTGAAGTCGGCACGCACAGCTGGTGCTCGTTTGATTTCCAATTACTAGACTGGAAACAAATGACGCCTAA